AGAAATGAAATAATTGACAAATGGTTCGATCACTGTTATGTCACACAAGAACAACGAGTCTTACTGTACAACACAAGAATGCCTTTATTTAATTATTCAAAAACATCTTCATCATTATCTTCATCTTCCTCATCTCCACTTAGTTCTTCCTGTGGTACCCTCCTCACCACATTTTCGCAGTTTCCTTCACCTCTGCATTAGCAGAACTCCGTACATGCTAGACTGAACTTGGTACAGTTACACATTGCTGATTTGCAGCCAGATTTGCAACCACAGCTGATGAGATGTAATACCGCATCTGGCACAATAGCCTGTTCGTCACAGATATATACAGCATGGGGCAGGTTAGACTTCTTCTCCCATTCAAACTCTTGAGGATCTAGAGGTGGAGGTGACGGCATGCCAGCAGACTTCCAGAGAACTGTCTGATAGTGGGCACGCGTACAGTGTGGTCTGAAAGCTGCCATTATTGGTGGTAAGCTGCTCAGATTTGGTGGTACATGTTTTTTGCCAGCTAGTTTTCGTATGAAAAGAGCTGCTCGTATGGTGTTCCGAGATTCGTCAAGCTTCTGTCGGTACAACATGCCTACATAGCCCAGGCAAGAGTCGACGATTTCATCCAGTGAAGTAGATGGATCTTTTTCACAACTTCATTGACATCAATCATAGCGCGATTTCTGGTGCATGACTACATGAGAAGTTGTACACTGCTTGGCATGTCGTTTGTTTGCGCATGTAGATGGTGGGCCACGATCACAATGACATCTGTGTTGTCAGACACAACTTTTATAGATGGATGTCCTGCCACAGCTTCATTTATCACATGATAAGCAATGAGGATGTCAGCTTCCGCATGCGTCACTGGTTTGAGCTGGGTACCAGTACCTACGTCAATGGGACGAGCATCAGGTCCTGTCACAATGATGTTCTTGCCCAGGGGAACGTCAGACAAACTCAGTTTATCTACGGTCATTTGAATGATCTGCTCTTTGTTAGCTGTGACATTCAAGGTGACAGTGTGCTTTGGTAGTGAGCAATCAGGTGTAAGTTTGTACACACGACTGACACCGTTTGCACGTTGTGCGTGACAGCATGACTTTATGCTGGTCTCATAGTATCTGTCAAACACCACATACAGAACTTGTGCACCATTCACATGACGCATTATGCTAGCAACAGCAGCAGTGACAAAAGTTGACACCTCAGCCGGTGATGCAGGCCAAGGAACTGTCCACAGAACTGCACAACCATCTATAATAACAACTTCGCAAGGCGCCCTGTTTCTTTGACTACATTCCACTTTGATTTTTGACTTCAGCACAGACTTGAAGGTTGTTCTCATGTGACCATTAGCATTGAACAGAGCAGATGGAAAAAGAGCTAGTTCATAGGAGAAAAGGGTTTTGGTAGAAATGGTTTCCCTGGAAGAAGCCATGATTCCAATGACTCGGGCATAGATAAGTTCAGTGTTCACGTTCTCAGGAGCCCCACTGTTCAGCTTTTGCTTTGTAACGGCTGACATTGGTTAGACCTTCTTACATATCACTGGCAATACATAATCACTAAAATCAATGTCTGCTATAAGGTTTTTGGCTGCCATTTTTAATTGTTTTTATTCAAAAATGCTCAATCTGTATTAACTGGCATACATCAGATTTTGAACCAGATGGTTTGAATTGTTGAAAAATTGTTAAAACATGTTATATATGTTCCTAAATATAGCCCAGACTACTCACGTTGGGAATTGGCGCTATCGAGTAAAAAGAAAAACCATGAAAAGTTTATATCTCAAGAACTCCACCAGATAGAGTAATGTTGCTGGTACCAAAATGTCCGCAATAGCCAAGTTTATATACATGTTCCATACATACTTTGGGTATAAATACAATATTGTCGCCGTTATTTACAAAAAAAGTGTATTTTCCGGTGGACATTTTAGATTTTGTGCTCTAGAAAAAAATGCTCAACGCTTATGAGCTGGCATACATCGAATTTAGAATCAGCACCCTAAAATTGACCAGAAACAGCAAAAAAACATTATATATGTTGAAAAACAAGCTTACACTATTATGATCATTATACGCCTAGCCTGGACTATTATGACAAGTGAACTCTGAAAATGCAGAGGTGAAGGAAACTGCGAAACTGTGGTGAGGAGGGTACCACAGAAAGAACTAAGCGGGGATGAGGAAGATGTAGATAATGATGAAGATGTTTTTGAATAATTGAATGAAGGTATTCTTGTGTTGTACAGTGAGACTCGTTGTTCTTGTGTGACATGACAGTGATCGAACCATTTGTTCATTATTTCATTTCTTTGTTCAGTATTAAGGGTATGTCTGAATATGATGTCAATTACCTAAACATTTTTGGCCATGAGGGCTATCTTGGTTGTCCATATAATTTTAATTCTGGTAAATATAATAGATGGGATTGTTCTACCACTATTAGTAATAAATTTTAAACTTGATTAACAAAGTTGTTGTTCCGTAATTGAAAACTGGCAATACATAATCACTAAAATCTATGTCTGCTATAAGGTTTTTGGCTGCCATTTTTTATTGTTTTTATTCAAAAATGCTCACCCTGTATTAACTGGCATACATCAGATTTGGAACCAGCTGGTTTGAATTGTGGAGAAATTGTTAAAACATGTTATATATGTCCCTGAACATAGCTCAGACTAGTCACGTTGGGAATTCACGCTATCGCGTGAAAAGAAAAACCATGAATATCTAAAGAACTACACTAGATAGAGTAATGGTATTAGTAGCCAAAATGTCCGCAATACCCAAGTTTATATACATGTTCCATACATACTTGGGGTCTAAATACAATATTATCGCCGTTATTTACAAAAAAGTGTATTTTCTGGCAGCCATTTTGGATTTTGTGCTCTAGAAAGAAATGCTCAACACTTACGAGCTGGCATACATCGGATTTATTATCAGCACCCTAACATCGACCAGAAACAGCAAAACAACATTATATATGTCGAAAAACAAGGTTACAATATTATGACTATTACGCCTAGCCTGGACTATATAAGCAATACTTATGCCTCAGCAGCAGCAGCAGCAGCAGCAGCAGCTGCAGGCACAGTGATTTTACTAGCAGTGCCGTGCCTTACGCAGCCTGGACAAGCCAAACCGTGGCTTTCCAACAGATGATCAAGGAAATCGCCATTGTGTGAAATTCCTGCGATTTCCTTCACCGTTTGTCACTCAGGAATGTCTCTGACATCTAAACGGATGCGATGTTGGATCCGTTTAGGTTTACCTCCCGCCTTCACTGGATGTTCGTTCACTGACATAATTGATTATTGTCTGCTCACGACTTTACTTTCTGGGCGCTAACACAAGTCGCAACTCGCACGCAGTAAACAGTTGTGCTGCCGGCCTGGCAGCGACCGTTATTTACAATCACCAATCTACGCAGCCAGAGTAACGTTTGAACGTAGGCGTACTGTGCCAACCGTGCTAACCAGCGATCGATCGTTATGTACACTGACTGATAATCCACTAGCTCTGGACACTTGTAGTAACGGTGTGCGATCGAGGGCGTCTTGTCGACTTGTCAAACAGCTAGGTTACACAATCTTCGCGCGGAAGCAACACGTACACGTCACACGCTGCACTTGAACTGGTTATATACATACTAGTGTCTAGTGGTAGTAATGTGGCTTGGCAATGCTCACAAGCAAGTAGAGTACAGTTGGTACAGCCACATATTACACTAAGACACAGAGAAACAGATCTCCCTCCACCTTCGTCTGTTACCTATCGCCTATACACTATATTTAGATTATAAATAGTTCACTTCGGTGTGCGCCCCTGCGTGAGCGTATCAGGGCCGCAAGTGCCTCTGACGTAATTTTGTTGGCTCCTCCTACCCAAGTGCATGTCGGCATAGTGAGGGCCTCACTTATCCACAATACACTTCGATGGGTCTGGAGTCTGGACGCATACACAGTCCCTTTAACAGCATAGAAATGGAATGATTGTGTATGTAATAATGTTAAGTCAAAGCCATAAACAAGAGAAAGCCAGTTGTACCATGATTTGAAGTTTAATGTTGATTCGTGCTATTACAGCTGTTGTCGCGGCCGTGTCTGTCTGTGCCTGGTTGGGAAGCGATTCCTCGATTCTTTCCACGACCGCGAACCACGCATGCGTCACGCACGCGCCGTATACCCCAATGCAGGTGTCGCGCATACCCACGGATGCGTCGTCCGTACTACCGCGACATTTGCATTGGAGATTATGGAGTTAGAGCGAGATGCGGACAGTCCAGTTAATGGGATGCGCCGCCGAATTAAACAATAGAGGGTGTAAGTGTCCCACCGGGCATACGGGCTGCGTATCCAGCTTTTACAGCATGGCATCTTTACCAACAAGTAAATTATTTGGAGATTTCACGGTACAACAGCTAATGACAGAGCTTGCTAGACGGGGTGCTAGTACGTCAGGAAGGAAGGAAGAGTTAGTGAAAAGGTATTCTGCACGTTTTTGTTAACTGTTATGCGATATTTGCATGATTAAACACGATCAAAACAAGTTCACCTCCATGTACGATGTAGTGTAGGCCCACTATGTAGTCATGCAATGTAGTGTACACGTTCGAAGTCGTTCTTTATTTAAAATGACTTATTAAACACGGTATTTAAGGGATAATAAGAAAGGCAAGAATATGTAGAACTGTTGTATGACATGAATTGTGCTAGGGAACCTTAAAAACTATTCAGAAGTTTGTGGAGACTTGCCAGCTAGACGTGGAGAGGAGCTGCACAGAAGGCATACAGACTTAATTTCCATAAGCCCAGGAAGTCACATACTGGTGTGTACAATTGCCAACATATGCATACACCCTGATTTTGTAACAAGCCAGCCTCATTCCTGAAAAAAATATTATTGGTATTCCAGGATCTCCTGTCAAAGCAGATGACATTCCATCAAAGGTGTCTTGTATTCAAGACGAACCCCGGCTTCAACACATGTCAGGCTACAATGTCTATGTCAGGAATGCCGTCATCAATTACCGTGCTGAGTCATCACTTGACATGACGATGCGTTCCCTATATCCGAAGGTGTCTCTGCAAGCAGCGGTCCTGGACCATGATTACCTTGTGCGACCATTTACAGAATATTGGGTGGATCAATCACTCCAGGTATACTTTTCCTGCCATTTCACCGATATTTCGAATGATATAGATATCTATGGGTCTGAGTACATCTATATTTATTATTTAGTTTTTCATAAATTGGTTGTGATGTTTACAAGGTAGTAAACTTAAAAAGATGTATACTAGTGAACAGTAGTCTTATATAATATGCTTTCTAATTTAATTTACTTCCTAAATTATAATTTCCTTCAACTTTTCTTATTTTTACATTGTGTCACTGGATGATATAATTGATTTAAAAATCCTCTGAATAAAATTTCTCTCTAAAATTATAAAAGTCTCAATTGTTACAATGTAGAATCTTTAACAGGTGTGGCAAGCCAGCCCGTTTCCTAGGGTAGGGTATGTAAATTTATGTACCTTATATTTAACAAAGATAATCGGACATTTTAAGTGAAGCTAGGTTATCGTTACAACAGGTATCCAACGCACGAATACAGGCAATTGAGTGTACCACCAGGAAGCAGAACCAATCGAAAGACTGGTACGAGCATCGCAGCTGGCGGATCACTGCTTCGCATTTTGGGATGTTTGCCATGCAACCGAGCGTCGAAATAGGCGGAAGCTTTGCTCTTCGATCCTGTCTCCAGGAAAGCTACACACACGAGCTATTATTTATGGACAGCAGTATGAATCTGCTGCCCTAAGGAAATTAGAGAACGATCATAATCTTAAAGTAGAGAAAGTTGGACTTTTTATTTCTCACGAACACCCATTTTTGGCAGCCACACCAGATGGGGTGTTAGATAGGAAAACCAGGTTAAGTGTCCATACTGGGGAAGGCATTCTAAGATTGCTCTAGGTAAATCGTTTCCATTTTTGGAGTACAACAACACTGGCAATATATCCTTAAAGAGAAATCACAAATACTATTTACAAATTCAGGGACAGTTAAATATTTCTAGAAGATCAAAATGCTTATTTGTTGTGTATACCTTTGAAGACATGTTTATTGAGGAAATTGATGTTGATGTAAATTTGTGGAGGCATAGCATGGTGCCAAAGCTACAGGCATTCTATGAAGTTTACTACCGGAAGCATGTGGCATCCACATTGTGATTGTAGCCATTAATGCAAATAATTAAGGAAGACAACTATGTGCTATTTTATTGTAATGTCAGTTTGTAACTTTTCATGCACAGTAATATCCTGTAAAATACAAGTAATGCATTCCAAAACGAGAGATACTTTTTTTCTATTTACAATTACAAATTACGTATAGGCAAAAATTAAGAAGCGTTATTATCATAAGGATGGTGTCTCTAGGGTAATTTCGAGAAACGGACCCAGTACACAGTTCACATGCTTGGTAGCTCAAGCCATAGCACTGACAATAGATGGCCTGAAATTACTTGACATAAAACAGACGTATATGATGAGTGAGCCCGAGTTCACTTTGCTAGGTGCCAGTGGTGAAGCAAGAATTTTAAATCTTTTGCTCAGTCCAATCACTCTTTCGATGTGTATCCTTTTAGATGCAATTCGCCGATCCCTCACAATCTTCTCTGGCTCGAGCTGTGTATGAAATGACGTTACCCGGTTCGATGTAGATCTGTTGTAGCGATGAATAATGAAACTCCAAACTCCAAGCAGTAGTGTTCAGCAAAATAGTATATTGTTCCTCAAACCACATACGCTCGCACAGAGGCACGCAGACGCGTGCCTCACGCACTCACGTCCGATCCCCCACCACCAAGAACCTTCCCCTTTATACATTTCTAGATAACAAAAGACGTCGCGCGCGTCCGGACAACCGGCATGTGCTGCCCATATGTACAACAAGTCCCTCTCAACCGTTTCGCATCTCCATCATCCATACTACACCATCAAACACGCTACCGCCGACCAACACATTATGCAACCGCAGTCACTCCATTTCCAAACACTCAACTACTATTTGTGACATCTGCAACCCATCATTACATTACCTTCCTTTCTTCCAAGACGATGGCTTCTATAAGCCATTGACTTTAGCGTCCTCGCTAATCTAAAATACACCCTAATTTTAATCCACCCTACGTACACACACGCACACACACACACACACACACGCACGCGCGCGCGCGCGCAGACACACACGCAGACACATGTCTCTCATCCTGGCTATTAGACAATCCAACATTACCCAAAATTGCTCGTACTCTTACTATACTAATATAATATCTCTTTCACCGAACACCAATTAATATACTCAATACAAAAATACAGTTTGAACAAAAATCCATATAACCACTATAATACAACATCGATACACAGATACACATAACAACAATCAAAATACAATAAGAGATCACATATGAAGCGTAGAAAACAAGTAACGATAAAAGTCTACCACAATAAAAATCAGAAACTCAACACATTTGGCAGTAAACATTTTGATAGCGCTGTAATTACTATCACTCTTGCGTATTTTTATGGCTGTAACGTACGTGGCGAATGCGTGTACCAACACGCATTACCGAAACCACGTTTCAAGCCATGTCCTTCCTTCCTTATATCAGAAGCCTGATTATGGCAAAATATCCTCATAATCCCAGGGCACACATTTCCCAGGCACACAGGGCCTTAATACACAGCACCGACGTGGACCTGACAACCTTGTCACTTCCACACATCGTACACATCGTACAACCAACAAAAATACGCAAAAGTGTTTCATATTGTCGATGAAATGTTTTAGGCCTATATCAAACCCTGATTGAAGAATGTGTCCAGCGGTCTAACAATATAGGTGAAACGTACCGTCACTGGTTAGCACAAATTCAAGAAACGATCACAAATTTTCTAAACAAGTTTTTCACAACAACGATTTTCCACACAAAAAAACAAACGGTTAGAAGCATATAATCATGAAGAAAATACCGCGTTCATAAAACAACCATAAACCATACATACATATCATACATACATACATACATACATACATACATACATACATACATACATACATACATACATACATACATACATATATATAATGTCAGTTAATTAAGCGTGTGAAACAACTGTATATCGGCCTTCATTATTAGACATATTGTTCCGCTCCGCAAGTAGCCTATAAGCATCTCAATAACTTAATATGCACCTTTTTAATAAGGGATAAGACACCATGGTGCATGTGATTACAGGCCAAAGTGCTTGAGTATTTCACTTTTCACCTTGTATATTATACGCTGCGGTTTGAAACTATATCGTTTTAACTTTACTTACGACTATAAATTATGCCGACACAGTTTGTTTCACTCACCCATTTTAAATATTTCCGTCCCGTTCATCTCTTGCGTTTCTTGTTCCGGAATCTATTCTTTTCGTCGTTCTTCGTCATTCTTCCTCTGTTTCGTTGATAAGCCTTGACGACGCGGCGTCAGCAACAGTTCTCCTTCTCCACGATCCCCAGCCGATCCTCGTCGCCTCGTCGATCGTCGTCGGCGGCTAGCGCAGTCTGCCATGGCTCCGCCATCTCATCACCAGAACTCGCTCCTTCCGTCCCTCTCTCGCTCTCCGTCATCCTTCCTCTACATCTTCCTTGCGTAGTATATGGCCCGTAGATCGATCGACATAGTGGAGTACCTTCCGTTGCGTCCGCAAAGGAATACCCAGGTTTTTAACTGTCACTGGCACCAAAATGTAACGACGAAGATGACGTTACCCGGTTCGATGTAGATCTGTTGTAGCGATGAATAATGAAACTCCAAACTCCAAGCAGTAGTGTTCAGCAAAATAGTATATTGTTTCTCAAACCACATACGCTCGCACAGAGGCACGCAGACGCGTGCCTCACGCACTCACGTCCGATCCCCCACCACCAAGAACCTTCCCCTTTATACATTTCTAGATAACAAAAGACGTCGCGCGCGTCCGGACAACCGGCATGTGCTGCCCATATGTACAACAAGTCCCTCTCAACCGTTTCGCATCTCCATCATCCATACTACACCATCAAACACGCTACCGCCGACCAACACATTATGCAACCGCAGTCACTCCATTTCCAAACACTCAACTACTATTTGTGACATCTGCAACCCATCATTACAGCTGTGACTTTCCCTTTAGCATGGTTGGTGTGTGTACAAATATACTGTGCATGGTAAACAGGTCTTGCACCATAATTCCTCGATCTGCCATAATGCTGTCTCGTTTATTAAAACGTCCAGCTTCTTTTTCTGTAGTCTTTGTCAGTCTAACAAATAGTCTATCAAAAGTCTAACAAATAGTCTTTGTCTCTCCCCTGAATTGAAATATTATTAATTAAAATACTATATATATATATAATATATGCATTGTAGACATTGTCTTCTATGCACACTGTGCACATTACTTAAATTAACTAGAGAGTAGTAGTAGTAGTACTAGTACTAGAGAGTAGTAATAGTATACTAGTACTAGAGCGTAGTAGTAGTACTAGTACTAGAGCGTAGTAGTAGTATACTAGTACTAGAGAGTAGTATTAGTACTAGTAATAGAGGCTAGCTATAGCCCGCGTACAGTTGCCGCAGGCAGCGAGCAGATAGACTGGTCCGCGCTCGACAGTTCCACTCGCAATACACTGACGTCGCGTGGAACTGTCGAGCGCGGACCCGTCTAATAGTAATACAAAGACAACGGCTGACTCGGAACTTCTAGGTTTTTCCTCTATATTTCTTTTCAATGACATCGTACTTCAATTCACATGCAGGTGCCTTTCTGTTTATAGAAATATTTATAAATATGATTGTGCTAATTTGGGATATTGTGCAATGTTTGTGTTAATGCAGAAAGTAAAAACGCAAGACCTAATGTTTACCTCGTTGTATAAATTCTGCGTAGCAGCAGAATGAAAGCTCACAGGGAATGCCCGATATTATACCCACGCCATCTGGCGAGGAAAAAATCGGCGGCGCATACCATTCTATTTCAAGGTTAATTTCATTACAGAGAAGCACGGATACTCTAGTTAATCCAATTACAGAGAAACACGGACATTCTAGTTAATCCAATTACAGAGAAACACGGACATTCTAGTTAATTCGATTACATTGCTGCGAGACACGGGTACTCTTGTTAATTCCATTACAGAGAAACACGGACATTCTAGTTAATCCAATTACAGAGAAACACGGACATTCTAGTTAATTCGATCACATCGCTGCGAGACACGGGTACTCTTGTTAATTCCATTACAGAGAAACACGGACATTCTAGTTAATTCGATTACGTCGCTGCGAGACATGGGTACTCTTGTTAATTCCATTACAGAGTCCCTCCGTCAATCCGCTCAAGTCAAAGGTGCCGACGAATCACTTTCCGACGGCCATCTCGCACGATCCTCGTTGGGAGTCACGGCACATACACGCCAACGCGATGGCCTCCACTGTGTCAGAATGCCGACTCAATAGAACCATAATGTCGACATAGCACTCCCACGGCGCATTTGCGCGACTTCTTGCAATCGTAGCACCGGTGGGATATCGTTATACACAGCTATAGTGTGGATATACACAGATACACATACAGATATACATAGGTATTGATTTTACTCTGCTACATTTCTCCCCCCCCCACTAAACCGATGTTCGCTTTTGTGGACATCGATTGCCAGCCTCCCGGTTGGCCTTACGCATCATGGTTTTTTTTACACACAATAAAACAACATCTAGTAATTAGTATACAATAATTCGACTGCTGGTGTGGGGTTCGAGCCCACACCGTACATTACTACTGGTACCATATATATGGTTTCAGCAGTTGCCTTCTTCCTCATCTCCGTTGGGGGAGGGTGGCAGTTCTGATATGGTGGCCATGATAGCCGCCACTGTCAGTGTGTGTGCCATCTGGCGTATGTGCTCCTGGTTGAAGGTGGTGTGTTCGGGGTCGTCCCCTTTGCCGACATAAAATTCGTACGTCATTGGGTCGTCGGCGCTGCTCGACCCGACAAAGGAGCCGATGTACTCTGCCTCCAGGAATGGTGATGGCCTATCGCTACTCCAGGAGTTGTCCTCCCAAGAGTCGTCGGTGGAGTCTGGCTCCGGGTACGAGCGGCGCGACATTGCCGTGCCGATAAACCGGGTTTCCGGCGAGGCGGGGAGCATATGTTCTCCCCGCCCGCAACACAGACGTCGCAGGCACAGGCGGCGCCGGTGCAGGTGGCGCAGGCGCAGGCGGAGGCGGCGCTGGCGCAGATGGCGCAAGCGCAGGCGGCGTCCATCAGCAGTGGAGACAACGGCGCCGGTGCCTGCAGTTCATCGGATTGTCGCCCGTCTTCGCTGTTGTTTGCGTGGTCCTGACAATGTCAA